TATATCATTTTTAAAATTAAACTCCATATAAGGGCTAGATTATAGAATACCCGTCCATTTCTGATACTGTTTATTTTGGGGGGATACGGTGATACGCAGTGAATGAAATGACGTAATTATTCGAGTGTTTGGGTAAATATTAAGTTTCAATGATACAGGGATACGGTGATACGCAGTGAAGGAAATTACGTAATTATTCTAATGTTTCGGTATCAAAATAAACGGGGAATCGTTAATCAAATAATTAATCTATATTTTCAATAATAAAGGGTTATGAATATATTGTATTTCTCGTTCTTAATAAACCCCGCACAAATATTACTCATATATTTTATTTCTCGTTCTCAATAAACCCCGCACAAAATATTACTCATATATTGTATTTCTCGTTCTCAATAAACCCCGCACAAAATATTACTCTATATTGTATTTCTCATTCCCAATAAACCCCGCACAAAATATTATTCATATATTGTATTTCTCGTTCTCAATAAACCCCGCACAAAATATTACTCATATATTGTAGTTCTCGTTCTCAATAAACCCCGCACAAAATATTACTCATATATTGTATTTCTCGTTCTCAATAAACCCCGCACAAAATATTACTCATATATTGTATTCCTCACGTTCTCAACTAAACCGCGCACAAAATATTACTCATATATTGTATTTCTCCTTCTCAATAAACCCCGTACACAATATTACTCATGCATATATTGTATTTCTCGTTCTCAATATACCCCGCACAAAATATTACTCATATAATGTATTTCTCACGTTCTCAACTAAACCCCGCACAAAATATTACTCATATATTGTATTTCTCGTTCTCAATAAACCCCGCACAAAATATTACTCATATATTGTAGTTCTCGTTCTCAATAAACGCCGCACAAAATATTACTCATTAGTATAAATTTTGCATATCAAATGAGCACGATTTGACCCCTAAACCCGCAAAAAAAAAAAAACTCATATATTGTATTTCTCGTTCTCAATAAACCCCGCACAAAATATTACTCATATATTGTAGTTCTCGTTCTCAATAAACCCCGCACAAAATATTACTCATATATTGCATTTCTCGTTCTCAATGAAACCCCGCACAAAATCAATTACTCATTAGTATAATAAACCCCGCACAAAATATTACTCATATATTGTATTTCTCGTTCTCAATAAACCCCGCACAAAATATTACTCATTAGTACTAGGTTACCCACAGGGCAGTAATGCTGCCTTTGACAGCAAAAGACAAACTACAGGGTGTTGAACGAGTCCTTCAGAAACATCCTATTATTGTTATCCTTGTTAACCCATTTATTGACAGTACCCTACCACTGACTGAGTATTAAAAATCGTCTGGCGTTGGACAGGGTAAATACTAAAGTAGGGGTCATTACTGTGTTGATGAATTAAGAAGAGCCATTGGCAGATAGGTTTGTTAACTTATTTACTGGCAGTAGCCTATACCACTGACGAATAAAATCTTCTGGCGTTGGACAAGGGAAGGGCGCATTGCCAGCTAATGGGTTAAACCACCGTGGTTAAACATAAGATTTCATGATGCTCCAGGAAATGTAAACAAGCTATCAGTGTGACATCCCAGTTTATGTATTTATATACTCGGAATATTGATTTCTCGGTATATACAAAACTATTTTAAAGTATAACAACCAGCGAAGGGCGTAAGCCACTAACTGCCCTGCGCGGCTGCGCGCAAACTATATAATGACATATATATGTCATCCGTCCGGTCCGTTCGTCGCCATCCGTCCGTCATTCATCCGTCCATCCGTCCGTCATTCATCCGTCCGTCCGTATCCGCGTTTTATCCTAACCCGTTTTCAAAACACAAAGTTTGCATAATTAAGGCAGTGCGGTTCGTCATGATCAACATTTTCAAAAGCGGCCAATTAGACCAGGGGTTAAAGGGCAATGACAATGATATGCAGGTGACATTTAACATTGCGTCCTAACTGTGGTCTCACTAATTAAAATTTGCGTGTTTAATAATGTTTATCAACGGAAAGCAAAAATGTATACAAGACAATCTCACATGTGGAATTTTTTCACTTACGTACTGCCTTGTGATGCAGTACAAGTATAAATACAAATTAATAATTCAAGCACGTTAGGTGAAAGAACAGTCCGAAAATAAGTAAAACACACACCAAATCATTGTGGGAGAATGGGTTCAGGGTGAAGTGAATCAATTATATACATGCTTGACAAAGCATTTGTAAATCCTAAAACATAATTAAATCATACGGCACTTTTAAGATTTTAATATCGTATTTCAGCCGCGTTTATACTGTTTGGCGCATTCGCTGCGTTATATTCATTTATATACACAGAAAAGCATGTCATTGTCCATGCAGACCATAGGCAAATCGTTAAATCATATACATGTCATGGAAAGAATATGGAAATAATGTTGAACGAAAGCTAGCATCGCGTATAATATTAAAAGCACCGCATATAGTGCTCGAACCACCGCGTATAATTGCAAAAGCACCGCGTATATAAATGGTGAAAGCACCGCGTATAATACTGGAACCACCGCGTATAATGGCGAAAGCACCGTGTATAATGCCGAAACCACCGCCGTATAATGCTAAAAGCACCCAACAAAATGCCGTTTGATCACTCTAAGCCAGCTATGGCTTTCCATAAAAGAAGACCAAAGATGAAAGATGATCACATTGTCTGTTTGCCTTCATATGCCTGACCGCGCTGAACCACGGTTAAAATTCACTGGTACCGTCATGCAATGCGCCAAATAGAAAATTTTGATTTCGACCCACAAAACAAAATTAGGATCTGCTGCCTTGCTCGCTCGCTTCAGGCTCGCTCGCTGCGGCAGCAATAAATTTTGCATATCAAATGAGCACGATTTGACCCCTAAACCCGCAAAAAAAAATATAACTCATATATTGTATTTCTCGTTCTCAATAAACCCCGCACAAAATATTACTCATATATTGTAGTTCTCGTTCTCAATAAACCCCGCACAAAATATTACTCATATATTGCATTTCTCGTTCTCAATGAAACCCCGCACAAAATCAATTACTCATTGCTGCCGCAGCGAGCGAGCCTGAAGCGAGCGAGCAAGGCAGCAGATCCTAATTTTGTTTTGTGGGTCGAAATCAAAATTTTCTATTTGGCGCATTGCATGACGGTACCATGGTACAGCCGTGGTACAGCGGGGTCAAGCATAAGGCAAACAGGCAATGCGATTATCTTTCATCTTTGGTCTTCGTTTATGGAAAGCCATAGCTGGCTTAAAGTGATCAAATGGCATTTTGTTGGGTGCTTTTAGCATTATACGGCGGTGCTCTCGGCATTAACACGGTGCTTTCGCCATTATACGCGGTGGTTCCCGCATTATACGCTATGGTTCCAGCATTATACGCGGTGCTTTCACCATTTATATACGCGGTGCTTTTGCAATTATACGCAGTGCTTCGAGCACTATATGCGGTGCTTTTAACATTATACGCGATGCTAGCTTTCATTCAACATTACTTCCATATTCTTTCCATGACATGTATATGATTTAACGATTGCTTAAATTTGGTATGTGGTTGACGAATGCTTTTTGCCTATGGTCCGTAAAGACATTACATGCTTTTATGTGTATATAAATGAATATAACGAAATTCGAATATAACGAAATACGATATTAAAATCTTGAATGTGCCGTATGATTTAATTATGTTTTAGGATTTACTTTGTCATTTGTATTTACTGTACTGCATCACAAGGCAGTACGTAAGTGAAAAAATTTCACATGTGAGATTGTCTTGTATATATTTTTTCTTTCTTTGATAAACATGATTAAACACGCAAATTTTAATTAGTGAGACGCAATGTTATTCATGGACGTCTAAAACAATGTAGGGTAAAAACAATGCTTCCATCATCATGAACTCCTAACTTCATTTTTGTTGTATATCTATATTATTGTAAAACTATATCACAACTTTCTTTAAAATTTTATGTACTATATATTAACTGACATATAGCTATCGTTTGAATTTAATATTTGCTGTAATAGGGCCTTGCACTAAAAGCTTCTTAAAGTTTCTTAAAGGCTCCTAGCTCTAGTATTCAACAGACGTTATATACTGTATATTCTATCTTAATTATGTAAATAGGGCGAATTTTTAAATAAAAATAAAAATAAATGTTAAATATCACCTGCATGTCATTGTCATTGCCCTTTAACCCCTGGTCTAATTGGCCGCTTTTGAAAATGTTGATCATGACGAACCACATTGCCTTAATTATGCAAACTTTGTGTTTTAAAAACGGTTAGGATAAAACGCGGATACGGACGGACGGATGAATGACGGACGGACGGGTGAATGACGGACGGACGGACGGATGGCGACGGACGTATAACATATATATGTCATTATATAGTCTGCGCGCAGCCACGCAGGGTAGTTGGTGGCTTACGTCTTCGCTGGTTGTTATACTTTAAAATAATTTTGTATATACCGAGAAATCAATAGTGAGTATATAAATATATAAACTGGAGTGTTACACTGATAGTTTGTTTACATTTCCTGGAGCATGAAATCTTATGCTTAACCGCGGTGGTTTAACCCATTAGCTGGCAATGCGCCCTTCCCTTGTCCAGCGCCAGAAGATTTTACTCGTCAGTGGTACAGGGTACTGCCAGTAAATGGGTTAACAAACCTATCTGCCAATGGCTCTTGTTAATCCATCAGCACAGTAATGACTTTAGTATTTACCCTGTCCAACGCCAGACGATTTTTAATACTCAGTCAGTGGTAGGGTGCTGTCAATAAATGGGTTAACAATTCTGCCTCGTCCCCAGTCGCTTGCTATCAAATAATTATTGCAGTGCACGCGCTGATCTATATATTACTGATATTTAAATTTGATCTATATAGAGGAGCCTGCGGAGGAGGCAGTTAACAATTAAGGATAACAATAATAGGATGTTTCTGAAGGACTCGTTCAACACCCTGTAGTTTGTCTTTTGATGTCAAAGGCAGCATTATTGCCCTGTGGGTAACCTAGTTAGTATAATAAACCCCGCACAAAATATTACTCATATACTGTATTTCTCGTTCTCAATAAACACCGCACAAAATATTACTCATTAGTATAAATTTTGCATATCAAATGAGCACGATTTGACTGCGTATCCTCGTATCATTGAAAAATAGTAGTTATCCATTCTCCTCTTAAACTACTCGAATAATTACGTCATTTTAATGACTGCGTATCCCCGTATCATTGAAATATAATAGTTACCAATTCTCCTCTTCAACTACACGAATAATTACGTCATTTTAATGACAGCGTATTCCCGTATCCCCATATCATTGAAATATAATAGTTACCAATTCTCCTTTTAAACTACACGAATAATTACGTCATTTTAATGACTGCGTATCCCCGTATTCCCGTATCATTGAAAAATAATAGTTACCCATTCTCCTTTTAAACTACTCGAATAATTACGTCATTTTAATGACTGCGTATCCCCGTATCATTGAAAAATAATAGTTACCCATTTTCCTTTTAAACTACTCGAATAATTACGTCATTTTAATGCATATGACTGCGTATCCCCGTATCATTGAAAAATAATAGTTACCCATTCTCCTCTTAAACTACTCCAATAATTACGTCATTTTAATGACTGCGTATCCCCGTATCATTGAAAAATAATAGTTACCCATTCTCCTGTTAAAATTAACTACTCCAATAATTACGTCATTTTAATGACTGCGTATCCCCGTATCCCCGTATCATTGAAAAATAATAGTTACCCATTCTCCTTTTAAACTACTCGAATAATTACGTCATTTTAATGACTGCGTATCCCCGTATGCCCGTATCATTGAAATATAATAGTTACCCATTCTCCTCTTAAACTACTCGAATAATTACGTCATTTTAATGACTGCGTATCCCCGTATCCCCCAAAAGCAAACACTATCAAAATTCAAAAGTGGCCGGGTATTCTATAATCGCTCCAAATATTACTCATATATTGCATTTCTCGTTCTCAATGAAACCCCGCACAAAATCAATTACTCATTAGTATAATAAACCCCGCACAAAATATTACTCATATATTGTATTTCTCGTTCTCAATAAACACCGCACAAAATATTACTCATTAGTATAAATTTTGCATATCAAATGAGCACGATTTGACTGCGTATCCTCGTATCATTGAAAAATAATAGTTATCCATTCTCCTCTTAAACTACTCGAATAATTACGTCATTTTAATGACTGCGTATCCCCGTATCCCCGTATCATTGAAATATAATAGTTACCAATTCTCCTCTTCAACTACACGAATAATTACGTCATTTTAATGACTGCGTATTCCCGTATCCCCGTATCATTGAAATATAATAGTTATACCAATTCTCCTTTTAAAGTACACGAATAATTACGTCATTTTAATGACTGCGTATCCCCGTATTCCCGTATCATTGAAAAATAATAGTTACCCATTCTCCTTTTAAACTACTCGAATAATTACGTCATTTTAATGACTGCGTATCCCCGTATCCCCGTATCATTGAAAAATAATAGTTACCCATTCTCTTCTTAAACTACTCGAATAATTCGTCTTAAACTACTCAAATAATTACGTCATTTTAATGACTGCGTATCCCCGTATCCCCGTATCATTGAAAAATAATAGTTACCCATTCTCTTCTTAAACTACTCGAAAAATTCCTCTTAAACTACTCAAATCATTACGTCATTTTAATGACTGCGTATCCCCGTATCATTGAAAAATAATAGTTACCCATTCTCCTTTTAAACTACTCAAATAATTACGTCATTTTAATGACTGCGTATCCCCGTATCCCCGTATCACTGAAAAATAATAGTTACCCATTCTCCTTTTAAACTACTCAAATAATTACGTCATTTTAATGACTGCGTATCCCCGTATCCCCGTATCACTGAAAAATAATAAGTTACCCATTCTCCTTTTAAACTACTCGAATAATTACGTCATTTTACTGACTGCGTATCCCCGTATCATTGAAAAATAATAGTTACCCATTCTCCTCTTAAACTACTCGAATAATTACGTCATTTTAATGACTGCGTATCCCCGTATCATTGAAAAATAATAGTTACCCATTCTCCTTTTAAACTACTCGAATAATTACGTCATTTTAATGACTGCGTATCCCCGTATCCCCGTATCATTGAAAAATAATAGTTACCCATTCTCCTTTTAAACTACTCGAATAATTACGTCATTTTAATGACTGCGTATCCCTATATCCCCGTATCATTGAAAAATAATAGTTACCCATTCTCCTCTTAAACTACTACTCGAATAATTACGTCATTTTAATGACTGCGTATCCCCGTATCCCCGTATCATTGAAAAATAATAGTTACCAATTCTCCTCTTAAACTACTACTCGAATAATTACGTCATTTTAATGACTGCGTATCCCCGTATCCCCCAAAAACAAACACTATCAAAATTCAAAAGTGGCCGGGTATTCTATAATCGCTCCAAAATCTTACCGGTGAATAAAAATATATTCTTCTCGTTCTTGTTTGGACTTTGGAGAATTCTCACACATACGAGCGGCGTAAAAATACAGTATCCGTTGTAAATCAAGCAAATTGGAAGAAAAATATCACGATTTTCAGTGAGATTTTCTTCTCAAAAACAATTTTTTTAGGCTCAAACCAGGGGGGTGAAGTACATCGTCGAAAGCTTAGGATCGCGGTTGGGACAGTGGTAGTTGCCATGAATTTAGGGACCAGTAGTCATGGCAATGGCGTCAGATCCGCCATGTTTTTGGCGACACTTTTTTATCCCGAGCAGGTCCTCCAGTAATATAGTATAGCTCAGTGGTGGAAACGCGCTTATTACCGCGTGATCTATGTGTGATGCGCCAGAGAACTGGCACTAGCGCGCGTTTTGAGAGAAAAGCAAAAAGAAAAGCGAAAACATGGCGGAAAAAAGATTGTTGTGTGACTTTGAAAGCCAGGGCAAAAATAGACGTAAGACCTTTTTTAATGTGAGATTTCTTTGATTAATTTTTAAAAGGAGCATTATTTTATGCTATTAATAAACTTTTTATGTAAGAAGCATCCGACGTATTTGAGAAAATTTCCATTATTTTAATGTGAGGGGCATCAAATTTTATTACTTTACGCACGACAACAGAGATTAAAATCAATGCTGTCTGAACACTAGGTAGGCCTAGATAAATTTGATAGCTTAAAAATGTGTGGAGTTTCTCTGGCTTTAGTACACAATATATACCAATACCGGCTTTTACCGGCTTTTTTTGCTATGCTTAAATAATTTTCTCAGCGCGTGAGAGCTAAAACATAAAAAGCCTACAAATCGCGGTCAAACTAAAAGTCAGTGTTAACATTGCAACACAATTTTTCAGTAAATTAAATTCTTAAAAAACTTTAGGTGAACATAATTGTTTTCTGAATTTTTAACCCTGTCAGCATAATTTATTTATATATTACTAACACTTTTGTATAAACCCAATAAGAAGTGTCTTTTCAAAGCGGGCAAAAACGTTTCTTTATATACATTGCATTAAAGTTCTCAGTTTACTTTTTTCATGCATGGACAAAAATGTCTTGTTGATATTTCAACATAATGTCTAGCTCATGCATGTATGAACTATAGCTGTTTACCACAAAATTTACAGTTATAATGATATATAGTATCATATAATTTATGATTTTTACCAACAGAAAGTCGGCTTTTTTGTTAAAACATGGTTTTTCGGCTTGGTATTGACATGGTCGTACATGAAACGACTGTTACTGTTAGCCATTAATTTAGTATGCAGGAAGCGCGGAAAAAAATGTTTCGACTTGTATCCCTTTTCCTAGGTGAAAAACTTTGCCTGAAATTTTGCACAGTTATTAATAAAGTTATGGAAAATTGATTTTTATTAAAACGAAGACCTGCTTTTTTGTTAAAATACAACTTTTCGGCTTGGTTTTGCCATGGTCTCACTCGAAAGGACAAGGTCAATGTAGCCATGTTTGGCCATGAAACTCAAACCGCGGAAAAAATATTTTTATTTATATCTTTTTTCCTAGGTGAAAAACTTGGCCTAAAAATTTTCACAGTTGTTGATAAAGTTATTGAAAATCGATTTTTATTAAAAAGAAAACCGGCTTTTTTTGTTAAAACATGATTTTTTACCTGGTTTTGACCTGGTCTCACATGAAACGACAAAGGCACTGTCAGCCATTTTTACTCATGAAACACGAAGCGCGGAAAAAAATGTTTCGACTTGTATCTTTTTTCCTAGGTGAAAAACTTTGCCTAAAATTTTGCACAGTTATTAATAAAATTATTGAAAATCGATTTTTATTATAAAGAAGACCGGCTTTTTTGTTAAAACACAACTTTTTGGCTTGATTGGCCATGGTCTCACTCAAAAAAACAAGGTTAATGTAGACATGTTTGGTCATGAAACTCAAACCGCGGAAAAAATATTTTTATTTGTATCTTTTTTCCTAGATGAAAAACTTTGCCTAAAAATTTGCACAGTTGTTGTCAAAGCTATTTAAAATAGATTTTTCTTAAATAGAAGACCGGCTTTTTTGTTAAAACATGATTTTTTCACCTAGTTTTGACCTGGTCTCACATGAAACGACGAAGGTACTGTCAGCCATTTTTACTTATGAAACACGAAGCGCGGAAAAAATGTTTCGACTTGTATCTTTTTTCCTAGGTGAAAAACTTTGCCTAAAATTTTGCACAGTTATTAATAAAGTTATTGAAAATCGATTTTTATTATAAAGAAGACCGGCTTTTTTGTTAAAACACAGCTTTTTGGCTTGATTAGCCATGGTCTCACTAAAAAAAATAAGGTCAATGTTGACATGTTTGGCCATGAAACTCAAACCGCGGAAAAAAATTTTATTTATATCTTTTTTTCCAGGTGAAAAACTTTGCCTAAAAATTTGCACAGTTGTTGTCAAAGTTATCTAAAATTGATTTTTCTTAAAAAGAAGACCGGCTTTTTTGTTAAAACATGATTTTTTACCGGCACTGTCAGCGATTTTTACTCATAAAACACTCAGCGATTTTTACTCATGAAACACGAAGCGCGGAAAAAAATATTTCGACTTGTATTTTTTTCAGTTCTCTATGACGTTAAAAGATAGTCCCAAGCTATAGACTCGTAGGAAAAACCGTATCTTTAGAAAAAAAATCCGTTTCAACCACTTTATGTCTTTAAAAGTGCACTGACCTTTTCAGGCTGTTCTATAGACAAACCACATTTTCTTTACAATATTCCCTCTTGACTGTAGCATAAACGTTAAGTACATAAACCTCTCATTCCATATAGTTCATCCCAGAGGTAAATCGTTTTGGTGTTCATTTGCAAATGAGTTCAACTAGGCCATGACCATGTTTCTTAAATAATATTTTAACTCTTGCCGTGTCTTTCTTTTCAAATGTTGATATTCGAATGAGAATTTCCAATATTCGAAAACCTACGGGGGTCCGCGCATCACACATAGATCAGGGGCGTCATTGCCGTTTCCACGCCCGTGTTTTATAGCGCCCTGCTGACGCCAATTGGTTCCTCCGGCTCATGGCAATTACCACTGACCAACCGCGATCCTACGCTTGAAGTAAAATCCTTCACCCCCCTGGTTTTTGCAAAAATTTTGATCATAATTTTCGAGTTTCGACTGAAGACACTGAACATTTTGATATTTTTGCAGTCGAGAAAAAAGTGTGTTAGTTTTAAGTTTTTAGTCTGCTTGTAGATGAAACAATTCACTCGAAAGGATTATTATATTTCTTGTTTTCAGGTAAGATTCACAAAAGTTTTATTTCTTTTACTTTTTTTAAGTTCTAGCTTGCCAAAGCTTGGGCTGCTTCGGGCAAATTTTATAACTTGCCATTTCGATGGAAAAGCATATAAATACATTATGTCAAAAACTACCGTTATAAGCAGCAAATGTATAATTATTTATATTGCTAATTTCAACAATATCACAGTAGCTTTGTATCCTCTTTTTTGTTGTTCTTTATATTCAAACTCATTCTCATACTGTATTGACCTGTATTAATTGTGTCTCATATCTTGGGTTCAAAATCCTTTTCCCGACTTGTTTTGTTTTATATTACTTTGAAATAATGAAATTCGTGATTGGTTTTAACTTTTAACTACCAGGTTTTTGTAGCAGTATTTATTTAGGATGCATGTGCACAACCTACCTTTTCAGTACCCTGCCAGTTGCCACTCTGGCACTTTCAAAAATTATTTATTCAGCATTTAAACCTTTATTATAAGTGATTAATAAAGGAACACTATGCCCTACTTTGTTATCTTACTCAGTCCAATACCAGATAATTTTACTTGTTAAGGGGAAAGTGCTAGTGCACTCAATTGCTTAATAATTTTAAGTCATATTAAACATCATTTTTTATTTGTATCACCCCCCCCCCCTTCGATATTCTAGCACATTTTACTTGTGGATCCCCCCTCTACACTGTCACAGCTGTAACTTGTAGCACAGGCTGTGGGAGTCTGAATCTTTTCTGTAATTCATGTAATGACCCAATATAGTTCAAGTGCCCTCACAAATCCAATGTAATTTGCTTATCCTGAGGCTGATGCTCAAGCATGAACAAGAAAAATACAAATAAGGTGTTTGAATGCAAGGGCTGTTGCAGAAATAACTTTATTTGATCATTTCCATTACACAATAGCATGTTTATTATATACAGAGAGTGTCAAAGACCATATTCTTCACACTGACCATCTATTAGATAATTTTATTGCAGTGTAAGGATGTATCTTAATGTTATGTTACATTCTGATATTCTGTCATTCATTTTGCAGGTAAAATCATTCACAGGTACCACAAAACATATCACAATGGATCAAAATGCTGAACAGCCAAAGCAAAATCATACCCATCTGGCTACAAATTCACAATAATAACTTGTCTGGATAGTTTTATCACTGCTAACTAAATTAATTATTTCTAATAATTGATAATTCTTTAATAAAGAGGTTGAACTATGAACTGTCTCACCATCAAATAATTCTGCAATTGGACCAAAAAGAGATTATATAATTAAAATGTTGTAAAATAAAGTTTTCACTAAAGACAAAAGAGTAAGAAAGTGAAGAAAGGAAATGAAAAAAGCAGCTTAAGCCAGCACACTATTTAAAGGCTTCAATGTATCATGCAACTACCTGAAAAATAATACTATAGGTCTTTCACCTGAAATGTTGAAGTTCATTGATTTCTTAGTTTCAGGTAATTGCATCTGATACAGGGGTGCACAAAGAGAGGACTGAAATGGGCAAAACCCCAAATAAATCCACCTGCATGGACTGGAAGTGACATTTTCTACCAATTAAATTGTTTCTGACTTGATGTCTGACTAGCATGTGTGACTTTCTCAGTTCTGGCCTGTATAATGAGATCCAGTGCAACCCTATAAAGCCTATAATCTAGATACTTTGCTTATACCTACACTTGTGATTGGTACCCAACATTCAGGAAGTACAATATCCTATTTCTAGTGGCTCAAGAATCCTCAATTCAACATGTCATTAGTCAGAAATCTAGGTAGAAATCATATTACCAGATAAGTTGCCCACAGTATCCTGAGCTAATCTGGCACCCCTAGGCTAGCTTCTACTGGCACCCTAGATTTAATATGCATACTAATCAAGAATGTCAGATTACAGTCATCAGTCTATATAGAAAACCCAAAGGATTTGAGGGAAAAACTGATTTAACTGAATTAAATAAAACAAAATTTGTTTAACAAAACCATGGCCAGCCAACAAATATTTAACAAAGCTTGTAAAGTAAGAAAAAAACAACAAAAAAACTTAATTTGAATATAAAAACAAAGTTTCTGTATTTTTTTACGACAAGACTTTGAACACATGGGGGAAAATAATACGTTATACTATACAAAGAGCCTGTTATCTAATGGATTATATTCTATCATTTACTCCCATTATCTTTTAAAAATTAAAAATAAAAACAAACGTATGTGAAATATTTACCTGTGAGCTCTGCCATCAAATATCGCCTTTGCCTAAATTTCTCGGGCTTTTCATATTGGTTTGTTGTCTTTTGCGGGTGAGAATAGCGTGTACGACTTTTAAATCTTTTAACAAATGGTCAAAAGTCGAAAAAATATAAAAAAACAACGAGATTTTACTGCAAAAACCTCGAAAAGCAAAATTTTTTTTGATAAAACCAGGGGGGGGTGAAAATTGTAGCGGGCTCAGAATTGAGCCTGGTCAGCGGTAATTCCATGAGCCGGAGGAACCAGTTGTCATGGAAATGGCGTCATATGGCGCGAAAATCCGCCATGTTTTTGCGGACACTTTTTTGGCTGAGCACTTCCTCCAGTAATATAGTATAGCTCAGTGGCTTCACTTGATGATGCCGAGCAGGTCCTCCAGTAATATAGTATAGCTCAGTGTATAGACCAGACCAATTGCGAAACTTAGTGGCCGCGCCTTCATACTGCACGAGAACGAGGCTTATTATGCAAAAACAAAACAATTTCTATATTTTTATATAGCAAAAAGTGAATTTTAGGGTTTTTAAAGTGTTTTTTCTTGAATCTCTTTGATCTTTTCTTAATATTTCGTGCTAGGTTATATAAATATTTGTTAAATTTATCTAAACATCGTTTCTCACTATGTTTTTACCCGCTTTGGAGAGATATTTCGTTGTTGTTTTAGCATGCGATGGAACAAACATATGGAAAAGATCAATCTAGACTTTAAAATCTGATCAAGATGCAAATAAAATAGCCAGTATAACTTAACAAACTAAAACATAACTCTTTCTACCCATATTTTTTTAGACTTGTGCGAGAAAAAAACGATTTTGTCAAAGGATAATAACATAAAATTTCTACAAATTTTGCCCAACATTTACTTTCATATTTTTAAAGTTAAAATCGAAAACTTGCTATTATATTACAACTGAAACAAAATTAATCAATGTTACAACTTATTCTTTGAAATGTACTAATAAAACAGACGGAAAATACCTGATTCTTTCTCTGGTATAATCTGCTTCTTTTATCGGACGGCGAAAAACAGCAAAACTTTGCCTCGCACGCCGCGAAAAACAATGAAATTTGAAGTAAGACTAAATCTATGAACAAGTTTAATAAAGATTTACATAATCAAAACAGAAATATTGAAAAATAATGAAGAGATTACCATAAAAACGCGTCTCAAACACTGAAATTCATTTTTCGCCATATAAAAATAGGTTAACACTTTTTTCCATCCAGCAAACCGCCCTATCGATTTTGTAAAGTCGTTTCTTTTTGGATTTTTTCATTAATTCGGTTAGGGTTAGAGTTAGGGTTGAGGTTAGGGTTAGGGGTTAGGGTAGGGGTAGGGTTTGGGTTAGTTACATAGCCATTTAACACCTGCGAAAATGACGCCAAGTCAGTTTGCTGGATGGAAAATAGTGCTAACCATAAAAATATAGCAGAATGATTTGTTTTTGCATAATAAGCCTCGTTCTGGTGCAGTATGAAGGCGCGGTCACTAAGTTTCGCAATTGGTCTGTCTATATACGCATGCAATCGATATTTTTAGTCTTTTAAAGCGTGCAGATTTTATATTGCAAGACTATGTTACTACATTTTTTATAGTATGATTGATTGAAGAAATGAGCTATTTAATTGTGGCTACTGCTAAATTCGAGTTTAAATAAACTTACGTTTTTGTATTGACTATTGTATTGTATTGTATTATTATTGCAAGACATCCCTTTGACTTTGTTTTCAATATAAACAGTAGGATATCATGCAATAATAAAAAGGATGGAATACATTAAAATGCCTCTGCTGTAAACAGAATTGGTTTTCAAATTACAAACATTCCAACTTCCAAGATAACCAAGATTCCAAATAAAAAAACAATGTTACGAAAAACTTTAAAAAGTGTTGTCCACACCACTTTCATAATTAAAACGTCTCATTCTATGAACGTAATCGTACAGTTTGCGAGGGGGACAGCCGCAAAAGCGAACACTTTGTCTGCGACCCGGTCACGCGGATAGTGTCCGGGGGACTCCGGGGACTGGACATTTGGGAGGGGGGGGGAGTATCCGCTTTGGCACCGGTAATACTCTAGCCTGTAGTCATTTATTTGGACTAGAGATGGGGTTATATCTGTCTTTTAAACCAGATAACCGATGTGATTGTTGCAATGGGAAATTGTATACGGGACATGCGTGAATGGATGTTTGAAGATAAATTTAAGGTGAATGATGGCAAGATTGACTTCTTGATCATACCCACAGGTTCTAAGCCACAACTGGACAAACTCCATGCTTGTTCAGTTCGCGTGGGCAACGTTGATGACAACCTATGCACTTCATATGATCCGCGTGCAATCCAGGATTCTGGTTCGATCAAAATTTATTTATGTCAACGCATATAACTAAGCCTTGTGGTGGTTCGTTTTACAGTAATGGCTACATAATATTAAGCGTATCAGCGAGTTTTTATCTCGTGATATCCTGGTTACTTTAATCGTTACGTTAAGTCGTCTGGATGATTGTACCGAACACCGAGCTAGTTACATTACAAAGAGTACAGAATGGCAGCCAAATTGCCGGTAACCTCCACTCAAAACATGACCATGCATATAACGCCGATTTTACATGAAATGACTTTAATCGGACTCCCCCAGCCTAGACCTAGGCCTTCTAGTCTTATTTATATTTTTTAGTATTCAGCGGTTTTTCACATGAAAAGACTGGGACTAGGTGATTTGGGGGCGGGGCGAAGGAAGCATTACCTAGTCCCAGTCTTTTCATGTGAAAAAGCGCTGAATATTAAAAAAATATAAATAAAAATAGAAGGCTTAGGTCTAGGCTGGGACTCCCCATCATATTTAAGATTCATTTCAGAACTTTTTACTTACTTTTAAAGCGCTGCATGGAATGGCTCCCAGTTATATCAATAACTTACTGAAAATTAGGCAGCAATTAGCATGGATTATTAAAATATCCATGCTAATATTAAACGCTAGTTTATTAAAAAGATGCGTCTTACTGTAAGACTTAAAAACGTCGAATCATTGGGTAACTTGAGAGGAAGACTGTTCCAGAGCTTTAGAGCGGCAACACTAAAAGATCAATCTCCAAATTATTTTAATATTTTCACACCGTGACCTGGAAATTCCAATGAAAAGCGTTTCTGTGCCGAAGGCAGCATACTAATCTTCACGGTGTTGCTGTAGTGCCCAGTTTCTTTGACCGAGTTATAATTATTGGACGTGAAATCTCGATTTTCATTTTATTGAAGGAGATCAAGGGGGGGGGGGGGCGATCATGTCGGAAATATTTATCGTACGTTTCGTCACAGCCATAGAAATATTAGACCTAGAATGCGTGCTTGGTCACATGACTGGTGTCCAAATTGAAAAGAAAATGCCCTTATAAATCCGCCATGTTGAATTTGAGCAGGAGTGCAAACTACAAAGTATAAACAAAGATTAGATACCATGGATGAAGATGTGCCACTCTGCGAAAATTATGTCCGAGATTTTTTTATAGCCGCCATTTTGCCAGTAAGTGTCAAATTCGTCATATAGCGCGAGCATCGCGATGGCAACCTATTGTATTCAGTCCATTGAGACATAGATTATAGATCATACCAGATGTCTCACTGTGTATCTATCCCTATGATTTCCGTGTCCGCGATTTTCGCGCGTTCGACACTTACTGCCAAAATGGCGCTTACTGCCAAAATGCGTGAATTACACTTACTGCCAAAATGGCGGTCAACGCTGAGTGATTCATCTGGTATTATCTATCATCTGTGATTGAGATTCAGTCTCGCCGCCATTTTGGCAGTAAGTGTTATGCACTCGTCATCTCGCGTGATCACCACGGAAAATTACGGACACGCAAACCAGGGCGCTTATCAAGGCTGCCACTCGTAGGGGGATTCCCCTACGGTAGGGGATTATCACCTCTTGTAGGGAGTAGGGGATACCTACGGGGAAAATGGGAATTTGTAGGGGAACGTAGGGGGTTTCTTTTACGGTTTACCTACAAAAGTCGTATTTCTCTTTTTGTGATTATCCAAATCAGTTCTTCCGTAAATTTCAATATTTTATGGCTTCTATGGAGTATGGAACATTGTATGGAACTGCAGGATTTTTTATGGAAACTAGAAATTTAAATTTGAATGTGGAAGCACTGAAATATCATGTGATGAGTATCGTGATGAGTGATATTGTATTTTCCCAGGAGAACCTTCACGCGAAAAAAGTGCAGCCAAAAACATGGCGGATTTTGGCCTTTGCTGACGGCATTTCCATGACAACTGGTCCGTAATTCTCACCACTGACCAGGCTCGGATTTGAGCCCGCTACAATTTCCACACCCCCTGGTTATCTGAAAAAACTTTAGGTTTTTGCAATTTTGCTCGGGTTTTACAGTAATAGGGAGTTTGCGCTTCACCTTTGCGGGAGCGCCAAACGGCAAGGCCGACATTTCTTGGCATAAAGTCGTTCGATTTCTGCGTGTCATATTTTCCTTCATATGAAACAACAAGCCCATTTACTTTTTATCGCTTTTTATCGTAGAATTTTTCTTTGCCTGACGTTCGTCGTTGAACGTAAAGCTTAACTCTCTATTGTGTAGTAAGTATAGGAGCAGGTCCTCCAGTTATTATACAGCCCAGTGTATTTTCCCTACAAATATACAATATTAGTAGGGAAAATACAATATTTGTAGGGGAACGTAGGGGAACATTGGGGACAATTGCATATCGTGCTGTAGGGGAAACGTAGGGGATTTCAATGCCCACCATAGGTGAAAATAGGGAACGGAGAGTGGCAGCCCTGGCGCTTATATACTATACCGGTATATAAGCGCCCTGACGCAAACATTAGGGAAATACGTCGAGTGACACATCTTTATGGTATCTAATCTTTGGTATAAACATGGATAATAAAATAAACTAGGTTGTTTTTGCTTACGTCAGCTAGAGTCCTATCCATTTATTTTATTATCCATGGTATAAACAAAGCTAAAACTATAAGTTTTCACTGATCGTCAAAGCGTTTTGTCTTGCTGTCAAATTTGTAGTTTAGGGATAGATTTTGAAATAATAAGTTCTTTAAGTTAAAGGCTCAAAGCAAATGTGCAGTTACTGACAAAAACGGTGAAAATCGTGCAGTATTGTAAAAACAAAGTCGTTTCGAGTAAATATATAAATTTACTCATAAAACATTTTTGCATGCTCTGAACGTAGGCTAACTGTTTTGCTAATAATTATCTTATGAAATTACGAAATGATAGTTTATTCTTTGTCGGGTTTCGTTTTTCTTCAATCTAAACAAAGTGTTTTCATGTTTTTGAAACAAAAATATTTAGTTGTCGAT